AATCCTACTCTCAAGAATGTCAACGTTTCCTTTTCACCTCTTAATAGCGATATCAGTATCTACTATTTATTGAGTTCTTTCAAACGGTACCAAATGTTTTACACACACCATCTCATTATCTTCACAACATCCCTAAAAGGAAGGTATAACAATTAGACCATTCAATCTTTCTTAAAAATGCTGTGAGGTAGGTATTATTCTTATCCTCATTTTACGAATAAGGAAACCAAAGCACAAAGAGATTTAGTCATTTGCTTAAGGAAGCCCAGCCAATAATCAGCAGAGCTGTCTCAGAGCCATTGTTCTTGGCCTGAATGGTACCCGTGCAGACTGTTGTTGAATGGTGCTCACCTAAATCCTGTGGCCACACTGTATCAGTAAGTGGGAACTATGCTGATGGCGAAATGGGAATTTAAGAGAGGGACCAGACACAAAATGTACTCCCTCAAAGAGCCAAATGACTTGGTTTTGCTTCTGATACTGGAAGTAAATGGAAAATACTGGAAGTAAAAGTAAATAAGTGACCCAACCAAAAAATCATGACACAGGAGCAAAATTTCTTGCCTGAGAGAGCTGGAGCTGGTGCCAGTGAGAGATAATAATCTGATGCTGAAGTGATTTTGAATATCTCAAACCAAGATTGAGAGGTAGAAAAAGCCCTGGGGACATCTTTGGGGGAGGTGAATCATCTGAATCTCTCATTCTCTTAGAATTTGAAAAAGTCAGTCCGACAGCCATGCAGGGAGTCAGTCAACAACACTCACCAAGTATCTTTTTCATGAAGTGCTCTTTCTAAGGCCTTAAAGTCACTAATTGTGAATACAGAATAAGTACTGTCTTTATTTAATGTTTGCGAGATTGGGTTCTCTAGAAGAAAACTGTTCCGTAAATTCTGCACACTATCAAAGAATAGGAAAAGCAATTTGAAGAATGACAAAACCACCACTCCCAAATTCCATACTAGAGTTTCAGGAGTAATTAGAACTGTGGTACTAAAGAATTCAAATCATTTAGGGGCAACTGCTGTTCTAGGACCAGTTTTGCACAGCTGCTTCCAGCTTCCTGGGACTATTTCTAAGCCATAATATTAAAATGGGGCCTCTCTCATGTTTTTGAATCCATATGGTTCTACCCAGGGCTCCTTTCCTTCCCTAACTTCTGACACATCCAAGCAGGAAAGTGAGCATACATATTTACATAAGCTACAAGGCTGTGCAAACAGACTTAACTGGTTAAAGGGCATTTTAGCAATGGCTGTTATTTCTTACCATTTTTAATGGGCTTTATACATCTAAAATCTTTACATCTTTAAAAGTCCTTATCCTTATTTTCCTGATGTGCTTTCTACCAGTCTTCTTCCATTTGTACAACACTAGGCTCTTTCAAATGACTCTCACGTCCTTTTTATCACTAAGTGTATAGGTTTTAAAATAATGTATGCAAATTTTTCCTAGTGTTCATAAAGTGCCAATTACCGAAGAATTCCCCTTATTTTCATTAAGGGATGAAAAATGGGTTCCTTTTTTTTTTTGAGACAGAGTTTTACTCTTGTCACCCAGGCTGGAGTGCAATAACATGACCTTGGCTCACTGCAACTCTACCTCCTGGGTTCAAGCGATTCTCCTGCCTTAGCCTCTTGAGTAGCTGGGATTACAGGCACCTAACATCACACCCAGCCAATTTTTGTATTTTTAGTAGAGACGGGGTTTTACCATGATGGCTAGGCTAGTCTGGAAGTCCTAACTTCAGGTGATCCACCTGCCTTGAACTCCCAAAATGCTGGGATTACAGGTGTGAGCTACTGTGCCAAGCAAAAAAAAAGAAAAAAGAAAACAAATGGGGGCGGGGGTTGAAATGCATTTTGTGAATACATTTTTCTTTCATTTCCACCTTTGATATGTTTCATTTCTACCTTTGTTAAGTTTTAGAACTTTTTAGGTCACGCTAAATTTTCTACTTAAGGTTGCTGAGATCAGTGAAAAACAGACTCAATTATTGGCTAAAAATTAAATTTCAACAAGGGAAAAAAAGATACTCATTATGTAGCAGTTTGAAAAAGAAAAGAATGTGTTCTGGCTTCCCATTATAATCTTTAAAAATGCAGTGCCAACTTGAAAACAAACAAATATGCCAGAAAATGTTAAACATTAAAAGCCAGTACTTCGTCAGTATGTTGTTTCTTAATGATAGTTCATAGTTAATTTTGAACATCACAAAGGTAAAGAAAACTGTGTTATTACCAATATCCACTTCAAATTATTGACTATATCTATATTTCCACATAACTGAATGTTACTATTTTTCTATTTTATTTGTTCTTAGTTTTCAAATACCATATGATTGGTGTTGACCTTTAGTTTGTAATGTTCTCTATGTAAGAGCCAAGACCATCTCACAGGTATTTATTTAGCTAACTTCATCACTAAGGCTGCCAAAGAGGATCCAGGATGGAACCAATGTTGGATTGCAGATCCGTCCAAAAAAAGGATAATATTAAATATTGTAAAGAAGTGACCTCATGTGTTTTCATAACATCTATGTAAGTAGATAAAAGGACTATATTATTCCCACTTTTTAGATGAAGAAACTGAAGGAATACAGAAACAAGTATATTCAACATTTATTGAGCATTTACAGCAAGAGAGGCACAGAGCTAGGTGTTTCAGAATATCCTTATGCTATAGTTTGAATGTGTCCCCCAGAATTTCTGTGTTGGAAATTTGGTCCCTGGTATGGTGATCTGGGGAGATGGAGCCTTTAAGAGGTGATTAGGTAATTAAGAGATATGTTGCTCTCTCTGATCTGGGTTACTTCTTGGTGGAGTGGGTTCCCATTCTCTCAGGAGTGGATTAGTTACTGCCAGAAAGGGTTGTTATGCAAAGAGGCTGCCCCTCGTGTTTCACCTCTTTCACATGTACCCACTTTTCCAGCATGTCATGATGCAGCACGAGGCACTCATCAGAAGCCAAGCAGGTGCCGGGTTCTTAGTTTCCCAGGCCAGAATCATAAGAAATAAATTACTTTCCTTTATAAATTACCCAGTCTCCAGTATTCCATTTTGGCAACAGAAAATGGACTACGACAATCTATAAATAAGCTAAAGTCAATACTTTTCATGTGGCCAAAATGTAGTGGGTGTGCAGACCGGAAAAACACAGTAACAAAGACACAATACAAGGGAGGAACAGAGAGAGGATGACTTCTGCTAACTAGAAGGTTCTGGAAGGATTTTGTGGAGATGGAATCTGAGCCCAGCCTTAACAGGTGGCGAAGGCTGTACAGACAAAGATGATGGGATAGCATAGGAGATGGCATGAACAAAGGCATGGGAAGGATACAGGATAGTAATTCTTTAGTTATCACATAAGATTCAAGGGCAGGGCAGACTGGAAGGAAGAAAGAAGGTGTTCAGAGGGCTTGCAGATGTTCTTGAATGCTAATTCTGATGGCCATGTATAGAGGAGAATGGGGCGGCAGGGAGATCATCAGTAACTTCATCATTAAAGCTGCCAAAGAGGACTAGGATAGAACCAATGTAGGATGGCAGATCCCCCCCCCCAAAAAAAAAGGATGATATTAAATATTGTACAGAAATGACTTCATGTGTTTTCACAGCATTCACATTAGTAGATAAAAGCAGGTCCTCAAGCCTAGGGCCGTGAACTGGTACCAGTAAGTTACCTGTTAGGAACTGGGCCGCACAGCAGGAGGTGAGCGGCAGGCCAGCAAGCATTACCACCCGAGCTCCACCTCCTGTCACATCAATTGCCTTAGATTCTCACAGAAGCATGAACCCTATTGTGAACTGTGCATGTGAGGAATCTAGGTTGTGCACTCCTTATGAAAATCTAATGCCTGATGATCTGAGATGGAATGGTATCCTTCCTGCCCTGTGGAAAAATTGTCTTCCACGAAAGTGGTCCCTGGTGCCAAAAAAGTTGGGGACCGCTGGATAAAAGGACTATATTATTCCCACTTTATAGATAAGAAAACTGAAGAAATAAGGAAACAAGTATATTCAACATATATTCAGCCATTGTAGTATTTTAGGAGAGAGGTAATGGAAGTTTGAACAGAGCAGAAGTGGGAATAGAAAGAAATGTGATAATCTGAAAGTCAGAGGAGGTAAAATCTATGTAATTTGGTAAATAATTGCACAGGGACACAAAGGATAAAGATGAGTTGACAATGATTCCGATGCATTAATTTGAATCAGAAAGCATCTTACATTCGAGCTACCCTTGGGCCAGACATAAGGACATTTCTATTAGGGAGGTGGAAATGTGGGTCGAATGATCTGGACATACTTATTTAGAAGTCAACCACAGAGATATGTTGGTTGAATCCTTAAGAGTAGAAGAAATCCTCAGAGGACCACATGTCCCAGAGTACAGAGAGAAAAAGGACAGAGAGAAAACCTTAAGGAACACTTGTATTTTAATATAAAGTGGTGAGAGAGTGAAGGAAGATGGGTCAGTCAGAGAAGAGGTAAGAGGTTAAGAGGTAAGAGGTAACGTGATAAAAGTCAAAGAAGAAACGTTTCCAGAAAGACAGCTAAATGCTACTTAAGGGACAAGTAAGTAATTTACTGTGGTTATAGAGATCACATCCAAGCTCCTGAACTCCGCACCTACCTATTGAATGACCACACTAGAAAAACAATGTGGTTTTTTTTTCAAGAGGACCTGACATGTCATTTTGCCAATAGTTAACCTGGGACTCAGTCATCAAAATTCATTGCAAGTTCCAATCTCCTTCATTAAACCCTCTTTGCAGCCCACACAGCTCTTACATTGAGCTTTTTAGATAACTATGATTAATCATGTACAAGGACCCACGTGCTCTCCTTCATTCTTGTAGCACTGTGCAGTGGTTAAATGCAAGGGCTTCCAAATCAGAGGCTGGTTGGAATCTAATCCAGCAGTGTGACGAGCTCTTCTTAACCAACTTTTGTAAGCCTCTGTTTCCTCGTCTGCAAAAGGCGGGAAAGGGGTACTTACCCTATCAGAGTTGAGAAGAGTGCATGAGATGATTGCAACTAAAACCCTTAGCGCCATGCCTTCAAAGGCTCGATTCATTTTGCTCTTACTGTGTTTTAGAATTTCCCTGAGGGTAGAGGACTACTCCATCACTATTCCCTAAGGCATGCAGCACTGACTTGGGGGCAGTGCGCCTCATTCAGCCAGCTCTCGGGGAAACATCTTTCTGAGGAAGAGGGATAAACAGTTGACGGGTTTCCCGGGATTCAGCAGCCCACCAAGGCAGGGCTGATTGCAGGGCGCAGAGGTAGGGAGGAGGTGGCATTAGCACACCACCGGTGACCGCGGAGGACCACACGTCCCAGGGTGCAGCGCGCCCACCTAGGGTAGAAGTAAGCGAGGCCGCTCCAAGTTCGCCTGCAGGAGAGCCGAAGAAGAAGCAGTGCACACTGGGACTGGTAGTCCTTCGGGGGCAACTCCGCGGGTCGGGGCGGGTCGAAGCGAGAGATCCCTTCCCAGTCCCTCCTTTTGTCCACGTGTCACTTCTCCTGGCCAATGCCCTTTCCAGTCGCGGGAGACAGCCCTTCTCCGATGCGATCCCCATTGGTCCTGAGGCTCGACGACTTCGGCCCTACCCGGAAGTAACGTGGGGAAGGCGGTTTCCTAGACTACGACACCGGAAAGCTGGGGGAGGCGCTCTGGGCTACTGAGGGCGGAGGGCGGTGGCAGCGCTGGCGCTGGGGACCGGCTCGGTGGCTTCGGGAAACAGTGTGGCGCCGGCGGCCGCCCGTGTTACTCTGCATTCCGCCCCGTCTCAGCACGGCTCGCAGCCCCCTGGCCACCGGCGTCCAGCAATGTGTCCCACCGGCCAGGCGTAGCAGCTGCGCGTGCGCGGAACCGCGGGGCCATGAGCGGAGCCGGCGGCCGGGGCTGTGGGTCCCCGGTTCCCCAGCGAGCACCATGGAGCCTAGTGGCGGCGACGGCCGCGTTCTGCCTGGTGTCGGCCACGTCCGTGTGGACGGCGGGGGCCGAGCCCATGAGTAGGGAGGAGAAACAGAAGCTTGGGTAAGGGCGCTTGGCAGCCTGGGGTGGGTTTCTCGGTGAGGCTGACCACAGGAGGGCTGCCTGTCATTGCGACCCTATCGCGTAGTGGCCTCTCCTGTCGCGATTGGAACGGCTGTTGCGGCGCGAGAACCCTGGTGGGGTGGACAGGGTCCGGGGAGGTGGGGGCCGCCGCCCGCGACCTGACCTCGGGGGAGCTGACAGGGTGTCGCCCTGGCTGCCGGTGACATGTGCAGGCTCGAGGCTAGGCGCGGTGTGTCAACGCGGCTGCCATGTCAGTGGCCCGAGAAGGGGGCTGCAGCCCGCATCGCTGCGCGTTGGAGCCCTGCGGTTGCCTGTCGACCGAGGCATGGTTGGCTTTCTCGCACAAGTGAGCTTCCAGCTGGGAAATGTTGCTGATCTCACAGTAAAGGAAATGGTGTTTACACCTGTTACGGAAAAGGGGGCGTTCATTGGAACTTGAACTTTACACATTTTACTATTTCCTTGCAGTGTTTTCTTGCACTGTATTTTCATAATAGAACCGAATGTTCGGGGGGAAATTATTCAAAAGTCTCAGGTATACCTACTCAGTAGTTTTTATCCATCTTGGAAGTGTCGTAAAATTATCAGTTCGATTTACACCATTTAATTCAGAGTCAGTAATACGAACAGACACGAGGTCCTACACATGCCTAAAAAAAAAGCCAAGAACCAGTAGAAAATGGTGAAAAGGTGTGAACGGTTAAGCCAGAAAAGGAAGTGCAAGTGGTAAATAAACATGAAAAGTTTCTCAACCTCCATAAATGTTAGAGATGCAAATTAAAACGAGGAGCTAGTTGGGTTGCCCATCAGATTAGTAAATATAGTATCAAACACAGGGATACAGTTCTGGCTAGTTAAGGTGTGGGGAAAAAAAAGGCTTGGTGAGAGTGTAAATTGCTGTAACTTATTGGTAGTATCTCCTAAAATTTAAATTGTGCGTCTTTGATTCATGAGTTCTATTTCTGGGAATCTACCTTATGAAAATAAAAGCACTCTTAATGTAGAGATAGATTCCGCCTGGGCAACAACAGCGAAACTCTGTCTCAAAAAAAGGTGCATTTTGAAAGAACTGTTCCTTGGAGGAAATGGTTGAATACGGTACGTTCATATTATGGAATAACATTCAGACATTAATAAGGAAGTATGTCACTGGAAGCCTATCCAGAATATATTTCCAAGAGAAAAAAAAATGCAAGTTGTAGAATAATATGTATAGTACCATCCCATGTTTTTTTAAAAAAAGAAAAAAAAATTGTCTAAGCTCAGAAAAGTGGAATGAAGACTATCTCATGGGGTTAGGCTGGAGAGGTGGTGGAACCATCAGGTCTTACTTTATGTACTTCTTTATTTAAATCATTGCAAAGAGTCTTGCGTTCATTTCTAAATAAAATAGCAATAAAGATCACCTGATGGAAAAAAGTTGAAGTATCAACCATCAAAATTAAATTACCAGTAAACTCTAACAAGTATCTTACATTTTCTCTCATTATGAATTTGATGTATCATTGATAACTTTTACCAAATACATCTGTGAGCACTTCACGTATGTTGTCTCTGTAATCCTATTTCCCAATGAAGTGAGTGTGATCCACATTTTGCAAATGAGGAAGTTGAGACCCAAGGTTGACTTGTTCAGTCGCAGAGTTAGTAATTGGTAGAGCCGGTATTCGAACCCAGGTCCGTCTGATCCCAGAGCCAGGCTCTCTCCAGTGTGTCGCACTTTCATTAGACTTGGAAGAGATGTATTAAGTCTGCCAAGAACAACAAGAATCTTATTTGACCACCACCCTTTCTCCATTTGTTTTAAAAACTTTTATTTGTAAAAGAGTCATTGGATAAATCATTTTTGACCAAAATTGGTTTTTAACTGGAAAAGTTCAAGCAAATTGGCTTGAGATTTCAGCTCAAATTTTGAGATTGTTTATGAAAGTGAAATTACGATTATTTAGGCACTTATTTAGAGTGCTCTACCCTTAAGTAAAGGGAGAGGAAGAATCTAGAGCTATAAATGACAAATACACAATGATATGACTGCTTTCTCCTCTGGAAATTTTCAGAAAACTGAACTTTGATTCATTACGTTTACCTGTGCATTTTTTTAAAAACTCAAGTAATGATTTGTGATAAAAAGCAGAAAATGTCCCCCCCTTTCCCGCTCCCCCAACAAATCAAACATGATAAAGACTGGAATTGTCATGAATAGTAAGCACTTGCTCAATAACTATACTTCGTAAAATTATTTAGCTGGTTATATGTAGTCTTACCCTTCATGGAATAAGCTTTTTGGTTTTGTTTTTAAAATTTTACAAGAGGATATTTTGTTAACGTTACGTTTTCATTAAAAACGAAGTACAGCCAGGTGCAGTGGCTCATCCCTGTAATCCCAGCACTCTGGGAGGCTGAGGTGGGCGGATCACAAGGTCAAGGGACCCAGGCCATCCTGGCCAACGTGGTGAAACCCCATCTCTGCTAAAAACACAAAAATTAGCTGGGCGTGGTTGTGCGCCCCTGTGGTCCCAGCTGTTTGGGAGGCTGAGGCAGGAGAATCACTTCAACCCGGGAGGCGGAAGTTGCAGTGAGCCAAGATCATGCCACTGCACTCTAGCCTGGTGACAGAGTGAGAGACTGTCTCAAAAAAAGAAAAAGAAAAAAGCAGAAAACAATCCAGTTTTCTATAGCACATTGGCAGATGTAACTTTAGGAAAAGCTGACTTACAGAAATTACTTAAGAGAGATGTAATTGTTGAACTGGGTCTGATTTCCAATACATTTTAATCTGGTTGTTGAATAGGTATAAAACCTTATAGAAACTTTTTTTTCTGTTCAGTATGATATTATACCATTCTGTATTTAAATGTGACTTTGTTAGGCTTATATATGTAAATCAGAGCAACGATATTAGCTCCACTTTCAAATAAATGTTCCAAAATTTGCTTATCGTATACTGCATAAATGTAAGGATTGGAAAATAGTGTATTCTCCTTGTATGCAATAATGATTTACTTCTAATCTTGAAAATTGAATGCTTGTAAAGTTGAGTTAGCGAATAAGAGCTTATATCATTTGTGATACACATGTCTAGGCACTACCATTGCCAATTATAGGAATTTCTACTTCTTGGTAATAATCTTGTATTCCATTTCGGGGAAGAAAAAAAAAACTTCCATCTTCCATTCGTTGATATGAGTTCCTGAAAGGGACATTTTAAACTTTTTTTTTTTTTTTTTTTCCACTTAGGACAGAGTAAGAGTCTAGAGCTGTAAACTACAAATATAAAAATCATATAGCTCATTTGAAAGATATTTATCATCTGCAATATAATAAGTGTCTCAAGGGATTCTTCAAAATACTCTATAATTTTCTGAGATTACTTGATCCATATTCTATTTATATATATATATATATATATATATGTATATATAAACTTACAAAGAATTAGTGCTTTAGTAAAGTGGTAATAAGGTCGTTTTTTAAATAATGAAGTGGTTTTAAATGGTTATTATTGATAAAAGTTGTCAGGACTTGTGCACTTCATAAGTTTGAGTGTACTTGATTTTGCTGGTCCTCATATCCAGGATCTGGAACTGAGGTCTTTTCTGTTTGCTAGCTCTGTTGTTACCAGTATTTCATCATCCATGATTATAGTTTTAAAAATGACAATTGCGGTGTAACAGGAGGCAAAATAAAAATATGGTGAGTAATTTCTTTTACACTTTTTTCAATTCTTGCCGTCAGTAATTGGAACTTGGGTAAAAGAAAAGTTAATAGGCCGAGCGTGATGGCTCAGACCTATAATCCCAGCACTTTGGAAGGCTGAGGCGGGTGGATCACCTGAGGTCAGGAGTTCGAGACCAGCCTGACCAACATGGTCTCGATGTTGCTCAAATACAAACATTAGCCAGGCATGGTGGAGGACACCTGTAGTCCCAGCTACTCTGGAGGCTGAGGCAGGACAATCGCTTGAACCTGAGAAGTGCAGGTTGCAGTGAGCTGAGATGGTGCCATTGCACTCCAGCCTGGGTGACAGCGTAAGACCCTGTTTAAAAAAAAAAAAAAAAAAAAGAAAAGTTAATAAAAGATTGCTAAGCTATTTTTCCTTTCCTAGTTATTTGACCTTGTCTAGTCATACCATTAACCTGCACTTTTTCCTATAGTCCTAAGTCCCTGAACTTGAGAGTGTTTAACTGAAAGACTGCTTCCTCAGTCTCAACTTTACAGGTTTTGATTTAGTAAAATTCTGGTATAGTGATCAGACATTT